ATCAGAAGATATACAGGTTAGTGCTAATATGCACATTGCTAGTCTCCATAAATAGAGCAAGAGAGGTACCTTTTGGTGGGCGCGGTTTCATCATAGCTCGAAGCGTGAGCTCTGAAGATTGATCAGATGTTTGAGGATTCTCTGGAGATTCTGAGGAACGAATAGTTGCTTTTCTAAAGCCGCGTTTTGCTGGTGCTTTCTTTGGGACAATAGAGTCTGAAGTCTTTCTTTTCTTGTTCACTGCGAGAGTATGATGTTAAATGGGAGGCTGAAAATCAAGCAAAACATATATTGAAAATAAGAATCAAATTACCTTTGGAAGGTTCTATTGACTTGGTTGGAGACATATTCACAGCCTCAATTGCTTTTGGTGCTATAGGAGGAACAATATCTCTTATTTTTGAAAGAATCAGGTCCAGAGGATCTGAAAACACAGTCTTTTGATAATCCTTCCACCAAAGGTCAAAATCGGCTGAAGAATAATCAGAGTAGCCAGTGAATTCGATGACACGGGACAATCGGTAGATACTCCGTATCAACGTGGTCAGCTCATTAAAAGGTTGATCATCCTTCAGCTTGCAAGTTAATTTATCAAAAGAAGCAACAGAGAAAGTGTAAAGAGCAGGAACAGGAACTCCTTGAATTAACCCAAGTTGCCTGGCACAGTATTGGGGAGAATAGATTTCAAAGCCAGCAGCAAACCTGCCTTTTGTCGAAAATCTCACAGGGAGATCAACAGAAGTCAAGACAGATTGCCAAAAGTCACTTTTGTTCTTCTGAAAGGCAGGAAGGTAAGATTTGAATTGAAGGGTAAAGAAAGGAGAGAAAGAATGTGGATTTTCCTTAATGGAATAAATTTGAGAAATAAAGTACCGAAAACAAGAGGGTGGTGTTTTAGGAACAGAGACCAGTTTCCTGCTCAAAGTTTGGCAGACTAGTTGGTCAGGAATAGAAACCAAGAGAGGCTGGATAACTTGATCCTTGGAAAACCAAGCAGGGAAATAGAAGGTTGCCCATGCTTGAAGAAGCCAAAGGGGACCACCAAAAACGCCACTAACTTCATCTGAAGCAGTGGAGGAAGAAGCATGGGCTAAACCCCGATAGAGTAAGGCCAACATTGTCTTGCCTAAAGAAAGCCGGGTCCCTGAAGCTAAAGCAGAAGCAACAGCAACAAAATCGTTCGAGACCCTAACTATAGGGTGGCAGAAAAGGAATTTACAGAGCCAGTATAAAAGAAAAGCAGTGTGCTCTTCGTCGGTAATTGCATTCTCCTTTTTAAAGTAGTTTTTCATGAATGTCCCATAAGCCATTTCAGAATCAGATAATTTGCCGAGCGGCGAATGAGAGTCTAGAGACAGGGTAGATGGGTCTGTACCCAAAAGAGAGAGCCCAGTAAGGCAATGTACATCAAGCAAAGTTACCGACATAGGAGAAAAAGGGAAAAAGAAGCAGTTGGTCGAAGATGACCAAAAACAGGACAATGCGCCAATTAGTTCCCGATTCACATGGTAGTCGAAACAACTAAGACGCAAAGCATCGTGAATGGAAAGGGTATTCCAAAGAGAACCCTTAGAAGGAAGAAGCCGAAGGTACCATTGATAGAACTCAGAATCAAAATTAGAGAAAGCCCTAAGGCGAGAAGGACGAGAATACCACTGGTACGCCAAAATAGATGACTCATGGATGGGAAGTACCTCAATCTGATGACGAGGGAAGCGGTTTGACAGATATTGTGGAACGAAAAAGTGATTGTGAGCAGCAGGGCCAAGGATATAAGAATCTTCAAAATCATTCTGTACAGAGAACATATGAGATCCTTCTTTGAAATTATCAGAATCCCGGAATAGATAATATCGGTTGAGGGCATCTGATGCAGAAAAGGAGAAAGTTTGGTCCTTGGAAGCTTTGGAAGCCATGGATTTTAGTAGAGTGTCGGAAAAGATTGCAGAGATTCAAAAAGGTGAAGATGAAGAAGAACGAAAAAGGAACGATTTTTATAGAAAGTGTTTTGGAGACGAAAAGATAGGCGCGTGAAGCAAGGTGACGAAGCGACGTCAAGAATAGGTACTATTTCTTTGACATTTAAAAGAATTAAAAGTTCTTTTAATTCTTTTAAAAGGGGGCATTTATTTACACCAAAATCGGCATGGATGTCAAGTCGGTTTAATGTCAAAATCCGACAAACAATGGAGTTCAGTCGTCTGCCGAAGTACGTTTGGATAAAATTCGGGAATGTAGTAAGCGTAAATGGCACCATGTCCCAAATTCTGTGATTGGAGAGAATCGGTAATTTTACCGAAACATGAAAAGTTTACATTTCGGGAAATGTTGAAGCTACCAAAAATCGGCAAGAACACAACCCAGCCACGTGAATCATGACAACAGGAAGTTATGAGCAAAAAGCGGAGATGGTGAACACGAGCAGATCGTGGGAGATTATTTATTCAAATTGGAAGTCATCCCAGCGGTTGAGATCAAGTTTTGGTGGACAATGAAATTGGAAAACGTGTGTAGATAAGGCAGTTATTGAAAGCGCCAAGATTTAAAGTTCGAAAATAAAGAAGTAACCGACAAGCAGTTACAGGATAGGAGGAGATATAAATACTCATAAGAAAGAAGAAAAGAGGAACCCCCAACAACAAGGCAAAAACACTCAAGCTTATATACACTTTAGTTTTATCTGCACTTTTACTTCCTGCGTTTACAGCTTCCTGTAGCTTTAGTTAACCTTCAAGTCCTTTACAGCTTTCATAGGAGTATTGTAACGTAGTTAGACACTTTGTTGATCTCAGATCCATTTTCAATCCACTCAATTTCTACCCGTTTCCATATAACCCTGCACTACACTCTGTTTTTTCGCCACGATTTTCCTAGAAATCAAGCCACAGAACCTACTTTAATAAAAATCGAAAATCGAAGTTTCGGTGAAGGATATTCCTCGTCGTAAAACGAGCGAACACATATGCTATCTGTCTCGAAATCATGTTATAGGACACAAGAAGATTGAACTCGATTAATTTATAGACATGGCAGTCTTTTGCGAGTAACATTTTTACTGGCTTTGTCGCCCCGGAAATTAGTACATGTATGGTTTTCGATTTCAGGTGGCCCTTGCATCAGGAGAAGGGAAATTTGTGGACACAGTGAGGAGTGCTCAGTTGGGCATAACGCTGCCCAATGTGAAGTGCGTAGACGCAAAAGGCTTGGACCTCAAGACGGATCATCTTCACCTCACCACCACCAGTCAGAATCACCTCGCTTCCCCGTTGACCGATGCCTTTCTCGCTTCTCAGTGAATAACTTCATCTTCAACATCAACAATTCTTTGAAATCTGCAGCTTTTCTGATGTATGGAGGAAGTACTTAGCATGTACTTGCATACCTGAAAAGTGACCTTTCAATTTGCTGAGATTAAACTGCTGTGCGACTTTTCGTTTGAAGGGGTGCAACTTGTCAATTCGTTTTCTGCGTTTCCGGTGGATTGAAGAATCGCAGACGTAAGATTTGCTGGTTGATAATAAGATAGTAATTGAAAGATGGTATGTAAGTCTCTAAAGGGATATCATTCAGAAGGTTTTTGAAAATTTTTCAGCCGTCAAATTTTTGAAGTTCTCTCATTGTACACGTCATGAGCTTCGTTTAGCAAGAGAGGGGACGCGACCGTGGTAGTGCTTGAGGAACACGATCGCTAATTCTATTCTAATTTCATCTCACTTCGCTTATCAAAAGAAAATGTAGAACTATGAGGGGCCGTTTGGTCACCCAAATAAAAGGGTTCATAAGATAGAAATCATTCTATTCAGCATTTGATGGTGCATGTTTAATGCCGGCCGTAATAGGTAGAATAGCCGGCTTTCATGTCATCGTTTTTTATCAAAATTGGCTAGAAAAATTACATTGGCATATCGTTAAAATGTTTAAGACTAAATTAGCTAAATTAAAAAGCTTAGGACTAAATTGGCATCCAAATAATAAGTTTATGATTTTTTTGATAATTATCCCCAAATTCAAGAAGATCAAAACAGAAAAGCACGACAAATAGATTTCTCCACGAATTAATCTCCGTGGCTAGCAATCTATTTGGTGCGTCATCAAATCAAGTGGCGACACTAGCCGCGACCCATGAGAACTTGGACATTTCTCGGTTTCTCGAATGGGTCTTCGGTCCTTAGTAATACGTGTATAGATAAATAACTGTTGATCATGGGATGCAAAAGGTACGACTCCGCTAAAATGGTGTCGGCCTATTTTTAAAAGGGGCAATTGCATGGCAAAACCAGTCCGTAGGAACACACCCATATATAATATTTGTACGGACTTGTTTGAGAGTTATTTGTGAAGAGAATAGAAAGAGAGAAGATTTCCCATATTCTGGAATTAGTTGACGATTGGACTGCTACGTTGTTGACCCTTGTTTTATTTTATTTTAAACATACTAACTTTTCTTGGTCATCAACATACTGATTAGAAAAGGTGTTGATCTGTCGCTGATTTAGATCCTTCTGTTCATCGGGAATCACTGGTCGAACACAGGCCCCTCGCTTCCACGCAAGACCACATAGTAACTCATTTGTCTTCAACCCATTATCGCTAGATAGGACGAATTAGATGTCATAGTTCCATTAGACTCAAATTGACCACTGACCCATATTTTTTCCACGGGAACAAAATATAAAATCCGGGTAAAGTTGCAACGATGTGATTAATTCTATCTACCACGCCACCATAAAATAGATTTATACAATACATTCTAGTGATGACAACTTCCTCACATCGAGTCAATGAGGAAATCTTCCTTTAGCAAACTCTTTCCTAAAACGAGTTTGCATCAGTTTGTTTCCTTAAACGACTACATTTACTGGGGAAAAGCACACACTTCCCTCTTTTACTCCAACCATGGTATTGCCATTACCACCAAAAACCTACTCCGGTTTCGGACACATTATAAAAGATCTTCTCATCTCTTCTTCAATCAAAAAGTAATCTCTTTTTCTTGTCGCTTCCCAGCACAATGACCATCCCGATCTTGTTTTCTCTGCTCTCCATCCTCCTGACCCTCCTCCATCCGAGCTCAGGAGACACGCTCCCTGAGGACATATTCATCCTCGCCGGCCAGAGCAACATGGCGGGCCGGGGTGGCGTCACGGCCAGAAAGTGGGACCGATATGTGCCGCCACAGTGCAGACCCAACCCGTCCATACTCCGGCTCAGCGCCCAGCTCGCCTGGTCTGAGGCGGTGGACCCACTCCACGCAGACATCGACGTGAATCACGTCTGCGGGGTTGGCCCCGGGACGTGTTTCGCGAGCGCGATCAAATCCAAAGACCCCAAGCTCGGGGTGGTGGGGCTCGTGCCCTGCGCCGTGGGCAGGACCAAGATCGCGAAATGGGCCCGCGGGACCCCCTTGTACAACCAGATGGTGAGCCGAGCCACGGCGGCCATAAAGAGCGGAGGCACCATAAGGGCAGTGCTTTGGTATCAAGGGGAGAGCGATACGGTGGTTCGAGCGGACGCCGAGGCGTACAAGAGCAACATGGAGAAGCTCATCGGGGACATTCGCACTGATCTTAACAACCCTTCTCTTCTCATAATCCAGGTAAAATTAATTAGAACTTGTTCATCGTCTCTCTATCGTAACGATTAACTATCATGCTTCCATGTTGGTTCTTTTAATCTTGTCGTTTTTGACGTGATTAGAGTCTCTTCTATGGAATGTTGCATATATCTTTGGCTACTCAAGTATGGTATAGCCTTTGACCCAAAAAAAAGGTATGGTATAGCATCTTTTTGCTGATAATCAACCAAAAGCAAGGTGTTACTTATGTGATAAATGCATGTTTCATATCTTAGGATGTGGAGAAATTAACTGCTTAATCACGCTTGAGGCTTCGCTTTTAATTTAGTGATCATGGTTTTTCAGAGACATTGTATGTGTAAAAACAATTCTATGTGTGATGTGGTCGATAGAATTATTCAGTATGCAATAGCTATTTGAGAATTTGTAACTTTTATTTGAATCCAATATATGGATGTCACAAATTCTTTGTTTAGTGGCATGAGCCTAGGTAAGGCAATCGTATTATGTTGTATGATCATCTAGAATTCAAGTTTGAAATTTGAATTATCTTAACCACCGGTCATATTACGGGAAAAAAAAGGGTCGGCCTCTTGTTTTTAGCAACAACCACTATCCAAATTCCCAAGAAGCTGCCAACATGTAAAAGGCTCAATCTCAGGACCTTGGAACTAAGCCTATATAATTCACAACAATCCTGACAAAAGCTTTGAATTGCACTTCACTAGCTTCCTATTGTCCCCATGAAGAAGAAGCAACGGACTATATGCTATCTGTCTCAAAATCACGTTAAGACAACCGATTGCTCCACAATCGTCCTATAGGTATACGTGTTTATGTATTCCTCCACAACACACCTGCATGAAGATAGACACATAAGAAGATCGAACTCGATTGATTTATCGATATGGCGGTCTTTCGCAAGCAACACGAATAACATTTTTACTGGCTTCGTCGCCCTTGATGTACGGTTTTCGATTTCAGGTGGCCCTTGCATCAGGAGAAGGGAAATTCGTGGACACAGTGAGGAGTGCTCAGTTGGGCATAACACTGCCCAATGTGAAGTGCGTAGACGCAAAAGGCTTGGACCTCAAGACGGATCATCTCCACCTCACCACCACCAGTCAGCATCACCTCGCTTCCCTGTTGGCCGATGCCTTTCTCGCTTCTCGGTGAATGATTTCTTCTTCGACATCAATAATTTTTTGAAATCTGTTGCTTTTCTGATGTATGGAGGAAGTACTTGGCATATACTTGCATACCTGAAAAGTGACCTTTCAACTTGCTGAGATTAAGCTGTTATGCGACTTTGCTTTTGAAGAGGCGATCTTTTCAATTCGTTTTGTGCATTTTTGGTGGATAGAAGGATCGCAGACATAAGAATTACTGGTTGATCATGACACTAATTAAAAAGACAGTAACTTCAAGATGGTATATAAGTCTCTAAAGGGATATCTTTCAGAAGGTTTTTGAAAATTTTTCAGACGTCAAATTTTTTAAGTTTTCTCAATGCAGACGCCATGAGCTTGGAAAGAGAGAATGGGACTAGGAAAACCTGCCGTTGTAGTGCTTGAGGAACACGATCGCCAATCCTATTCTCATTTCATCTCACTTCGCTTATCAAAAGCAAATGAAGAACTATGACGGCACGTTTGGTCACCCAAATAAAAGGGTCCATAGGATAAATATTATCCTATTCAGCATTTGATGGTGCATGTTGAAACGGAGAAACCCAGATAAATTCGAATAGAGCGTCAAATAATAACTTATCAGAGCCCGGGGGCGGGAAAGATATTATTCAACTTGTTTGCACCAAAAAATGTCCAATTTTTAGTTACTATCGACATGTGATAACTTGAAGAATCAACAACTTGAAAAGAATCTACAGCTCGCCAGTGAAGTCATTGACGACACACAAAGTGAACTTATCGATGAGGACCTTGAAGTTGATCGACAAAGTCATCGATATCGACATCGAGCAATCGACAAGAGGATAGCCGTTGGTTGATTATTTTGCCGCTATTTTAGGATTGTTGTAACTTCTTGTAACTACTAGGAAGTTATTTTTTTTTAGTAACCATTTGTAACCTCTATTTGTAAACTCTATTTGCAACCTACCTTCGTAACTTCCCTTTGTAACCTCCGTTGATAATCGTCATTATAGGCTTTAAATAACCACATTATACTCTTTGGAGGATCCCACACAAATCAAACAAATTTACTATCTTTTCAGTATTTTACTTCCCTGCACTGCACTTTATTTTCCTAATTGTAGCTTTTCGATTCGCGTCATCAATTAAATTCCGACGTGTAATCTCTATCCCAAGTCCTATGTTGTCGATTAAATTCTAGCATAGTACCTTTGTGTTCTCAAGCTGTGTCGTCAAGTTTGTTTACACCTAGTCACTTTATCGAGTCTGTATCTTCTAGGCCTTGTCGTTGATTATATTCCAGCACAGTTTGTGTTTGTATAGTCTTGTTTTAATTAAAGCTGCTGGTTTCTTTTGCCTGTGATAGTTCCTATACGGAGTTAGTGCAAGATCATGGTTCTCTATAATTAAAAGCCAAAGAACGACTTTCGGTAAAAGATATTTCGTCGAAAGAGAAATTCCGGCGAAATATCTTTTTGACACGCCCGGTGGGACCAGTGTGACTGATTTGAGGAAATACTATGGTGTGTACTATGAATCAACTCAATCCTAACAATGCTGGCAGTAATAATTCGTCACCACAGCCTACCATAGGACATTCTAAGTCATCGACTACACAACTAGTGGTGGATCAAGCACAAGGTGGAGATGTCAACATCCCAAGACAACTCGATGAGCAGAAAAGGCAATTAGAGAGCCCAATCATGATGGCTACCATGAGGAGGATCCTCGAAGAACATCAAAATGAAACAACTAATTATATGATGAAATACCTTGTCGATGTGGTCAAGCCTATGATCATCAAGACCTTCCATGAGGTCATGCACGGGCTAGGAACGTCAAGCCATTCAAGTCAAATGTAGGCAAATCCTACCGATCCTACATAATTTGGGATTTTGTAAATGGCTGAAATCATTGTTACAACCTAGACTTGTGGGGTGATACCTGTCGGTGAAAGTCACTTGCCTAATACTGCGACTTTTGTTGGTACAACCTAGATCTGGGGATAATACCTATCAATGTAAGTAATTTGCCTACTACTGTTGCTCCTATTGGTATAACCTAGACCCGTGGGGTGATACCTATCGGTGGAAGTAATTAGCCTAATATTTCGGCTTCTAGGTATGTTCCTCCAACTCTTAATCAATTGAATAATGGAGATAATTTAGGCCAAGTGATCCTACCACCGGTGAAAATTTTACAAAGGCGTGAAAATCCTATCCACCCTGAACCAAGGGGGCATGAAGGTCAAGTCTATCGACCTATTTACCCTGAACCTAGGGAGCGGGGAAGGTATCAACTTGTGAATCCTAATCAAGTGGTTGAACTTGTATTACAATAATTAGGTGAAGACAGAGGAGTGGTCAGGCCAATATATAGGAAGCCACATCCTGATTGGGTTGGCACTATACCTTACTCAAGAAATTTGAAATTCCTGACTTCGCTGTTTTCACTTGCAAAGATGACTAGTCGACCGTCAAACACATTGGTCAATTTATTGCCCAATGTGGAGAGGTAGGAAAGAATGAATTCTTGAGACTTAGGTTGTTCCCCTTGTCTTTATCAAAAATTGCCTTTACTTGATATACGAATTTATCTCATAATTCAATCCATACTTAGGCTGAGAAGGAAAGGCAACTCCATTCTCAATTTTATAGAACAATATTTAAAGTATCGATTGTTGATTTGGCCAAAATTTATCAATATGATAATGAATCAATCGATCAGTTTGTTGCTCGATTCAAGAGAGCTAGGAATAGATGTCTTACTTCACTCCTGAAAAAAGAATTCACAAATTTGGCTTTCATTCAATTCTTTTAAAAGGGGCATTTGTTTGTACCCAAAATATGTCAAATTTTTAATTATTATCAACATGTGATAACTTGAAGAGAATCGATAGCTCACCAGTGAAGTCATTGACAACACACAAAGTGAAGTTATCGACGAGGACCTTGAAGTTGACCGACCAAGTCATCAATATCGACATCAAGCAATCAACAAAAGGATAATCGTTGGTTGGTTATTGCTGCTATTTTAAGATTGTTGTAACTTCTTTTAACCACTAGGAAGTTTTTGTTTTTTATAACCATTTGTAACCTCAGTATTATCTTCCTTTGTGACCTCCGTTGATAATCGTAGATTGTAGGCTTTAAATAGTCACATCGTACTCTTCGGAGGATACCCCCCTACAAATCAAATGAATTTACTATTCTTATTAGTATTTTACTTTCTTGCATTGCACTTTATATTCCTAGTTGTAGCTTTTCGATTCGGGTTGTCAATTAAATTCTGATGTGCAATTTCTATTGCGGGTGTTGTGTCATCGATTAAATTCCGGCATAGTACCTTTGTGTTATCAAGTTGTGTCGTCAATTAGATTCCAGCATAGTTTGTTTACACCAAGTCACTTTATCGAGTCCGTATCTTCTGACCCTTGTCGTCGATTAAATTCTGGCACAGTTTGTGTCTATACAGTCTTGTTTTAATCAAAGTTGTTGGTTCATTTTGCTTGTGATACTTCCTATATGGAGTTGACGCATAACTTCGGCACCCTTTAATTAAAAGCCGAAAAACGACTTTCAGTAAAAGATATTTCGTCGCGGGAGAAATTCCAGTAGAAGACAACTTTGAATTGGATAAACAAACTATTTCAAAAAGAAACAATTTTTAGAAGCTGGAGCAATGAGACCACCATCAGTGCCACTACTACAGACGTGGTGACCACCTTGCGACGGTTGCCCCTCTTAGGCAACTAGAGCATGGTACCAGGGTTCTCAATTGACCCGCATCGACGCCGCCTAAGCTCTCGTGCGATCCCCACGGCACTCACCATCTTTAATGTTATTCGAGAGAACGGAGGTGAACAAAAGAGAAGATAATGCACCTAATTTGAATTTATTTTGCTTTTCATATTCACAACCTTAGAGATATCTTCGGGAGATTCTTTATATTTTCGTTGATTGTAATTGATATTTTATTATTTTAGATAGTATGCTCATAAATAGGCTTATGTACTCTTCATTTGATAATGTACATAATGAATAACTACATCTCTCTTTTCATCACAGTTCTCAACTCACGATAATCTTGAAATCTTTCAACTTTTCAATCCCGATGCTTTCTCAAAATTCCGAAACAAAACCTAATGGTCTAGATTCAATTTATACGACACTCACAGAATAATCCATCTAATGAGAGAGATAGGGACAAGCTCGTACTCGTCCGAACCAATCGAGTCATGTCCATCTGCTTGTCACTTGTTACGAATTGTGTCCCATTTGTAAGCCAAGGAGCGAGAAAACAAACAGACAATGGACCAGGATTCGTCCTCTCCACCCGACTCCTACACGGGTCAGGCCTTGCCAACGTAATGGGCCGCGGTAGGGACGCAAGGCCCAGTAAGTCCGTCACAAAACATGTACTATTGATGTACCCCCACTTCGCATGATGTACGCTGCTATGCTATGCACATCAAATTCATATGAGCCAAAGCGAAAAGTTGGAGTATGTTTAGTCAATTTTCTTTTGAAGAAGATTCACGGGCCCGGGTTTGTCGACTTTAAGTTGATATTTACATAGTCGAGGAAAAAATCGAGCTAGGTCGAATTCATCCATGTGTTTGATGTTTAGATGCCGTCGAAAAAGTTCTACTTCAAATGAACCTAATAATGTCCCCCGCACCCCGCCCCCCCCCCCCCCCCCCCACTCTGATATCGTTGTTCAAAGCTAAGTCGTCACTTGCGTGCTCATCCCATCGCTTGAACTTAGATCTACAATTTAGAGATCATGAGTTAAATAATCATGCTTTGTAGGGTGAGCGATTTCAAATTCCTTATATATTTCACCTGAAACCTAGAACCTACTCTCGGGTACAAGTTCCTCATTTTTTAAAACCTGAAACCTATCCGTCAGAACGTGGAACCTGGAACCTACCCTGTCACAAGTTCTAAAGTCAGTTCCAAGGCCTGTGCAGGTTCTACCTGTATTATTAATTGAACAATTGCAATGAATCATCACCTTTAATGACCATCACTTGATGCTGCGATCTACTAACCACAACTTATATTTAGACACACGAAGAATATAAAACATTAACAAGTCATAAAA